GGTGTGCTCTTAACACAGGGATGTGCTGAGGATACATGCGTTAAAGCGTGCGAGGGGCTCATATATTACAGTAAAAGAGGCTAAATCAGTACCCTAGGTAGCCCTCGATAGCGTGAGCTAAAAGGAGCCCACTATCTGCTAGCACTAGTAGGCCATTACCCCTGCATGAGATATCTACTGGAAAGGGGACACGGTGCACAGGTTACAAGCGTGGTCTATTTGCAACTCCCCGCAAAAATGAGGTAAGTGCAATTCTGCCTCAAGCCAGTCCCTGCACCTCTTTGTGCTGGTTCCTTAGAGGTATAGACTGACCGGCCACCTGAGGCTCAGGTCATTCATGTGCACACACAATTCTGAGACCCTCCAGTGCAATGAGCCAGCGTTAGCCCCAAACATCGCGCGCGGCCTCATGCTGCTGCATGAGAGCCGGCAAATGAAACTGACTCGTCTACTTTTCAGTGTTTGCTTTTTTGCATCTCACTCAAAGTTCGCATATGAAACTCTTCAGTGGTGGTGATAAAAGTGGTAGGAAAAGTCTGACCTGGCCCAGGAGACAGGGCCAGCTCTCACGGGAGATGCTGTCTAATCTCAGGCAGGTCAGGGATTGTATTTTTCTCATGTGTGCCCAGCACTTTGCAGAACAGGGTCAGATCCGGCCGTCTAGTCCTACCTACCGTACTAGAAATAAAAGGTCAGTGCTTGGGCTAGGCAAAAACTGGACCTTAATTTTCAAAACTAGACTGATTTTCTTAAATACACACAGACCATTCCCTTCCCCTGCTCCAGTTCTTCATTACTGGGGTATGAAGGTTCTGGGCATCTGCACACCACAGTATATTTTGCTGTGGAAAATCCCATTAGCACAAGCCTAGGTAAGTTACCTGGAGCACAGAACTGTGTTAGGGAAAAGATCACAACTGGACTGAATATGCCTCTCTTCAGCACCGGGGTGTTGTTTGGAATGAGAATTTGTTTTATTCCCCTTTGATCAGCTGGGAAATCTTAACAATTAAAAAGCAATTTTTTCAATCTGAAACTTGCCCGCGCGGGCGCACACACGCACGGCAAATCAGGAAATCTGGACTCAAGAACTAAAAAAGTAGTTTAAAAAAAAGATCAATGAAGTAGTCAAGCAAAGAGCAACTGCCAGCTCCACTCGCAGGATATGAATATATAATGTGGATTTTGCACTGTTGGCAAATCTAAGGGGAACTGGTGCATTGTGCGCTGGGATGAGCTAAGAAGGAAGAATGCCCACTTAGTAGTATGTGCTGATACATCCAGGCCCTCTGCACCGGAGGAAAGGATGTACGTGGGGAACAGATATTTAACAATAGGCTCTTCAGTCTAGCAGAGACGAGTCTCACATGATCCAATGGCTGGAAGTTGAAGCCAGACACATTCAGGCTGGAAATAAGGCGTGTGGTTTGGATGGAGAAAACGACTGGAGCAATTCACCAGGGTCGGGGGGCGGGGGGGAGAGCGGGGATTCTCCATCACTGACAACTTTTAAATCAAGGTTGGATCTGCTCTGGGAATTATTTTGGGGCTGGCCTGCGCTCTACAAGACGGGCTCATCACAATGGCTCCGCCTGGCCTGGGAATCTCTCAGTGTCTCAGAGGTTTGAATGGGAAGCTGTCTGCTTATGATCTGTCTCTTTTCTGGACTAAGCAGAATGGAGATGGAGGCGGCTGGAGAAGTGGCCATCTCCCACTGTACTGCTGACACCCATTTTCTCCCACCAAGGTCACCTCCCATTCCAATTGAGGAGTGGCCACCTCTAGACCCTGCAGTATATTGCTAACATCCTCCGACCCCACAACTACTGTGTGCCCGGGCCTAGGGGCAGCAGCTGTCTCAGCCCTCAAAGCCCTTGGCCACAGGCCAATACCGGGTGCAGGAGCATTTTAGTCACATCCCCACCCACTCCAGAGCGCCGAGACAGAGACCGGGAAGGAAGGAAGGAGAGACCGGGAAGATTTATACTCGTTTAATTAATGTCAAATGTAGTTTACAAACGGGAATGACAAGTACCTTTTTATATAATATACATTGACACACAATCATTGACACAACTGGAATATCACCTTGTGCAATTGGGATTCTTTGGGCAAAGAGAGTTAATTCCTTTTTTTTGTTTTTGTTTAAGCTCATTGTGGAAGAGGAGAAAGCGAAAACGCGGCTGGCTCCTGAGAAGGCCAGAACGAGACTCTTCTCTCTCCATTCTCCCCTCGGATCCCCACCCTTCCTAAAAACAGGGACGGCTTTACATTAAAAAAAACATTACTGGTTACATATGGTTTTACAGCTACGTACACAGCACACTGCTGCTCCACAACACACGAGAGAGATCCTGGCTCTCAGTGCCTCCTTGCAAGGCAGAGCTCGGGCACTGGGGACCCTGCCCTCCCCACTTCCCCATTCCCAAATGCCTTTAAAAAAATAAATAAATCACTGCGCATTCTCCAATTCCATTCACAGAGAGATCACAGCTCTAGTCCCAAGGCCACCCGCAGCCAGTGCTGGGCATGGCTGCCCCACCATGCGGAGTTTATTATTCCAATTTAAAAACCAAACCTACTGACTGCCTTTCCCAGGGCTTAAGTGCTACAGGCAGGGCTACTTCCCAGCATGACAAATGGCATTCATGTGCAGCCCTTCTCTCTACTCTCACAGGTCTGGCTCATCAGGGGAGAAACGTCCCAACTTGGAATGTCAGAATCGTTTTCTCTCGCAGTCACAGATTCTTCTCCATCTCCCAAACACTGCCCAGGAAGGTACACGTGCACAGCATGTCAGCTACCAGGGAACGGCCACGGCGCCCAGGATAGACTCACATGGGCAACAACTGTACTGTAGGTAGAGATTGCTGCTTTGAGAGCGTAAGGACCCAGGAAGATCTGACTGAAGTGATATCGTCTTTGTTGGGGGGTGGGGAAGGGGGAATATAATTCCATCAGGAGACAGGTTTAATTTGTGCAACAGGGTCCTTTAGAATTCAAACAGCAAGACACTGACCAAAATGGCAGCTCCCAGGAGAAGACATCATACACTCAGGCAGGGAAGTTGTGATAGAAATATCACCACGGAGACAAGCTGCCTCATCAAATCTTCTGTTACTGCAAAACACAAACCACCTTTGCAGTGCTGGGGCGGAGTCCGGCTTCCTAAGTAGTAAACCCTCTTGGGGTCAACACACCCTCTGGTGGCCAGGTGTCCTACACCAAGAAATCCAGCAAGTAGGAGTGACCTTGGCTTCCAAACAGCCTTCAAATCACCACTGACGTGCAATATTCCGGTGTCTAGCTTGTTCTGGTCTCTCCCCCCGGTTCGTGAAGCGAGACAGCTAGTGAGAACAGCAACACAAGGTTGCCTTCACCAACTTCCCTCCTCCCACATTTCAGCGCTGGACTACTGCCCTGCAAGGGCACCATCCTGGCAACAAGAGCCACTGGTGGGTGCCTTTAAACAACTCACGCAGCCTTGCAAAGCTCAACTGGCTCGAGAGGCGAACGTTGCTTTTTGGTAGGTAAAAGCGTATTCGTTTCTTTGTTCCCGAGGTAATGGGGGAGTAGATGGCAACCCTCAGCCGGTGACAGTTGTGTGCGGCTGTGGCCCTGGAAGCGAAGGACAAGTGAGAGCGGCTGTAGGTGCCGCTGTGGAAGAAGCTAGGGGAAATCTCCCGGGAGGAGGCCATTGGGGATCACTGGCACTGACTGGAAGTATCTGAACCTTTGCTCATCTTGGTCAGTTCAGTGAGGCTGGGTTCTCCTTGCCAACTCACTGGCCTGAGAGAGGGGCCCTAGCATCACCTTTTACTTAGATGTGGAAGTTACCTTGCATTGTTTTAAGAGGAGGAACGTGCACCATGTCCTAGGAACCCCGGCTCAGGCAGGCTCTGGAAGAGATCGGCGATCTAAAGCAACCTTCCACTCTAGCAAAGAGCTTGTACCAGAAAGTCAGTGCAATTCTGACGCCTCTCCCGGCCAGTACTGGCAAAGCGGCAGAACAAGGCAGCAGGATGGACGCAGATGGCAAAGAAGGCAGCACAGCAGCCTCCCCAGAGAACACCTCGAGCAAGAACCTTCCTTCCCTGTCCTGTAGTCACCTCCTACTACTCAGCCAGAAGGGAGAACAACTGGAAGCCTTGGCCCTGAGCCTGTGCCACGGCCCCACCTCTCCTGCGGGCAGAGGCGGCGCTCCGGAGCGGAGGGAACACCCTGGGCCATTGGGCAGTGAACTCCTTTCCAGTGGGAACAACACAAGCCAGTGGCAGGGGCACGGCCTTTGGGTTTCGTGGGCAATGGCTGGGTTAACTGAAGCTTTGGGGTGCAGATTCCCAACCCCTGGAGACAGCTGTACTTGGCCATGTCCATTCCTGCCTCCCATTTAATCTCAACTCCTGCCCCATATGGAAAAGAGGCGACAGCGCCTGAGCCAGACCTTTCCAACCGCCCCCTGCCCCTGATGAGAAACTCAACGCCGCTGGCTTTCGCTGGGAGAAAGATTCTATTAGAAATAGCCCCATTAGCGACGGCTAATGACAAAAACCCAGCTCCCCTACTCCCCATAAGTCTTGTAAGTTATGGGCGATGCTACAGCCATTACTAAAAAGCTGTTAACTTCATATCTGACTGAGGAAATATACACCACAGAACATTAAACCATTTATATTATAGATATGTATATATATACTTTTTTTAAACTAATGACTTTAATGCCAAAACTTTGCAGAACCAAGAAAAATATGGGTTTAATGTTCTCCGCTCATTTTTTTTCTTCTTTAAAAAAAAATACAACCAAAAAAAGGGCAACTTAGTAGTATGTAATGTTTGTGTCTATCCCATTTATACACAACATTGTAAACGTATATAATCTATATTACATGTGCTTCATTTTCTGCCTGTGGGGTTTTTCTTTAAACCTTTTTTTTAAATCACTAGAACACCACCAAAACAAAACAAAAAAACAAAACAAAACATAAAATAAAACAAACCCAAAAAACAAACCAAAACAAAAAAACCCAACCAACCAAACTGAACAAAGAACACAAGTTACAGGTTATTTAACATCTTTCTGTCAAGGGTCCCTTCCCAGTCTTCTGGGGTTGTTGAAGTGAACAGCACAGTCCAAAGGAAGGGCTCACAAGCCATCCGCGATGCACAGCCAGCTCTGGGGAGAGGGGAACACTGGTTTTAAAAAAGGGTTTGGTTTTGCTCGCTGTAGAGTCGCCAAAGGAGGTCCCAACACGAGAGACACGGAGGCCGAGGCTTTCCCGCGGCTCCTTTATCCTTGAGTCCACGTCTGGAGTCTGTGTGTTTGAAACGTCTTTTCTTGTTGTCGTTCTTTCCCCCCTTGGTGTGATGAGCTGATCCGGGTAGCTGGGTCCCACCCTCCTGCTGCGTCCTTCATAAGTAGATGCGCCTGAGGTCTCCGGGAGATGTGATGGTGTTACACTGAGGGCAGAGCTTCTTAGCGCCCTGCAGCCGGCGGAGGGAACAGAAAGAGAAATGTCACCTGGGAGGACGCAGGACGACGGCGCGCGTTTCCCCTGGGCTGTGATGCTGGGGATGACAATATGGAAGCAGGAGAGGCCAAGGCCTCCCAATACCCAGGACCCCTGCCATAAAGGAAACAGACCAGAGAGGCGACACCTCCGAGCAGCAGGTCTGAGCCCTCTGGGGGAATCAGGCGCTCCCTTCCCCAACGCAGTCCCTGCCAACCCAGAATGCACCTAGGAGGTCCCCAGCCACGGGCACAAGGGAGAGGACAACCCAGCCTGAGTGCCTCTCATTAATGCTTTGACTCATCAGGACCATTCATTCTGCAACCTTTTTCCCCCCCCCCCCCCCCCCAGCTCTTCTCGAGAGTCCCCATCTCATACTGTGCTGGAGCAGCACCTGCTCCGAGGAAACAGCCAGGAGGCTTGGAGCTGGATTAGCGCTCGGCAGAAAACTGAAATTCAGTGCAACAATTAGCCGATTCGCCTCCCATCCCCTTCTTTGCAGCACCCACTTAGGCTCCAACTGTCCCTCTCTATCCTTCCCACCCGACCGAGCTGTGTGCGCTGGCCCCTCGGTGTCAGATGGACCCACACTTGGCGTAGCTCTGTCCCCAGCGAGGGGAATACCAATTGCTTCCAGCCTTTGCGCTAGCGGAGCAGTAGAGGTGCATGCTTTTAGCAGCAGAGGGCCTGGGTCTGACCCCCACATCGGCCAACCCAGCCAGGGGCGTTGTGTTACGCAGAATGACGCTTTCATGGCAGCTGTGGCATTCCCAGAACAGGACGACGGAGCGTGGGGAAAGACATTGCTCCTAAAGCTTCAGTGCTCCTCTAAGCAGAGGGAGCAGCATGGGGAGTGCCAGCCCCATGGGGAGTTCTTGCTTTTCCCCTGACCCTGCAGAAGCCCCTTCAGGGGATCAGGAGGGGATGGAGTGGCTGTCTGCAGATAGCGTCCCTAGGTCAGGGCTGCTCCAAGAAGAGTTAATGCAGCCTCCACCATCGTCCCCCCCGCTGTGCAGTGCTCCTGTGGGTGCTGTTACACCTGGGAGGTGGGGGGCTGGCTCAGCATCATGCAGCCCCCAATGCCCTGTGGGGCTGGACTTTCTCTCCCTGATGCTGCGGCCAGGGGCCTTTGGAGGCTGCACTCTTGCTTCCAAGGAGCCACCCAGTAAGGGAGACTGAGGCAACAGGAGAGTTCAGCTAGCTGCATGCCAGGGCCTCTCAAACCCCGTGTCCAGAGCACAACACGATCCACGACTCGGAGCCCCAGAACTATACAGACCGAGGGTCTGTTCCACCCCCCCAGCCTGCCTCGGGCAGCCAATGGGAACAGGAATTCCCAGCCCTCTGTACCACGCTACAGAGGAGTCTGTATCTGCTGCCAAGGTGAACGGAAACGAGCAAACTCCAAACCCAGGCGAGGGAACAGAAGGATGACACGAGCACTGCATGAAATGAAACAATGGCTGGTGCCATCTGTCATGGATCCTGACAGGTAGAGGGTGTTAATAAGCCTCAGAATCGGGGTCAACCTAAGCTGGTCATCATTAGATTGGCAGGTGTGACAGACAGCTGATGAGAAAAATGACAGAAAGATGGCTCTGCGGCAACTGATCCTCCGCTCCAAGCGAGCAGGGCAGCAGTGCCGCGGCAGACCTGGAAATCAGGCGGTGCTGGCTTTAAACACTGACAGCCGGCCTCAGAACATAACCTCCTGACTCCTACGTCAAAGCAGCAAGCACAGGCTCCATCTGAGCACCCCGACTCTTCTGCTTCCCAGCCGTTCCTTTCCAGCCCAGCTCCCCAGCCAGCATGCACGGCAACAGGCTCCACGGAATCAGACAGGCCCCCAGGGCTGCACAAAGTGGGGAATGCCAGCCGGCTGCTACGGCTCGCACAGACTGACCCAGAGGAGGCAGTCTCTCTTGGGAAGAAGAGCAGTGCTCCCAAGAGAGGCTTGTTTTGATCTCTGCAGCCAGGGCAGAAAGTGGGCGTTAGAGCAGGGGGCTCAGCAGGTTTGCAGGAGCTGGGCTCAGTGGAAGGGCAGGTTCAGATCTGGCCACGCTGCACTGATTGCTGCCAGTGGCAGCTCGGATTACAAGAGAAGAGATGGATGCTATCCCTGACGCTACAATTAGCATCAGCTCTGCTCTGTGAAGATATCTGCACAATGAGCACACACGGGGCAGGGAAACCTCAAACCCAAGCAGGGAACTCCTCCGACTTCCAGGACAAATTCAGGCTACGTCTACACTGGTTTGTAGCCACTGGTGCAAACCCCTCAGTGAGGACAAATTACATCAGTGCAGAGGAATTTGGACCATTGCAGCTGACCTCAGCGTCAAACAGGTGTCAGGCGCGTCTGCCCTGGGGCTTGCACCTGTGCCACTAAGAACCCAGTGCAGACAAGGCCAAGTCCGTTCTCCTCTCCCTCCTGGTGCAAGCTGCCGCTGACAGGCCTCCAACCTCGTTTTCTGCAGTGTAGTGGGAGCCGTGTTGGCCCCAGTACACTAGAGACAAGGTGGGTGAGGGAATACTGATCTCTCTCCCCAGCAGAAGCTGGTGCAATAAAAGATATCACCTCACCCGCGTGCCTTCTCGTTTGCTGACCTTCTGAAGGATCAGGTTTCAAGGGGCTGAACACTCCATGCCTCCAAGTCAGATCTAAGGTGTCACCAAAACGCCCCCAACCTGCCTTGGAGGCGAATAAAGGCACTAAAACCCCTCAAATCACTACTGCCCAAGCCACAAGGGGACTGGGATTCAGGAGAGCTTGGTTCGATTCCTAGCTCTGCGGCAACCTCAGGCAAGTCCCTTCTCCGCTCTCAGCCTCTGCTTCCCACCCTTTGTCTCGTCTGTAGATTTTAAGCACTTCATTGGCATAATGAGAGACAGGCCCTGCCCTGGAGAGCCTGGCACAAGGGGGTCCACGACGCAAGTACCTTCACAGAGCCGAGTTGATCTCTAGGCGCTGCTACCACCACCCCATTATGGCGGGCAGACTTAAAAATCAGTATGTGCACTTTAAAATGGCCAGGTTATAATCCAGCCTTTCGCTTCTCTCTCAAGACCTGTGTTCTGGAGTCTAGAGCTGCCAAGAAGAGCACATTTCTTGGGCTGAATGCTCGTCTACAAAGCAGATCCCTTTCTTGGGCATCAGGGCAGGTCGGTACGAAGAGGAAGAGTGACCGATTTTTAAAGCTATTCTCTGTCATGTCAGGCTGGGACCTGTTGCACTGCTGCTGAGATTCAGAAATCGGGGGGCTCACACTGCATGCATCAATATGATGTATTTCAATTCACAGCCGACAGAACCACTGGCCTGGCTGTGCAGATTCTCTGCAGCCTCGGGGCTCCCCACTGTCAACAGGAGGGCAGGGGGCAGTGTCTCCGGAGGGGCCAGGGGAGCAGAGAGGTTTATGCGCCGCAATCAGTGTTACACAGGGTGGTGGTTGGCAAGTTCTCAACTCTGGACTGCAGTGTGCCCCAGCAAGCAAAAGTGAGCATGCAACTGGGAGTTTAAGGATTCCAGATGTGGCTAGCTCTTGCACATCTGTCTCGACCCTTTCCTTCCCAAGAGGCACTCCAGAGAATGGGAGCAGTTCGTGCAGGAAGAGCCAGTGAAATATCTGTCCAATCACACCTCACTGCTGATTACACAAGGGAAGCGGATTCTTTCTGCAGCTCCCATCCCCTGGAATGGCTTGGTGCTGTCACTCTGCCTCCAGATATGCCCTGCAGCCTCTCTGCAGCAAGTGGGGCTGCCTGGCTGGAGCCGAATGCCGCGAGGGGAAGAACTTCAATGGAACTTTCCCTGCTCGGTTTGCCCCATTAGAGAGGACCCGTCGCCTCCCCGCATGTCCCGAGAGATGGGGGACCAGCACACCCTCCTGGAATACAGAGACAGGCCCCAGCGGGGGGCAGATTTCAAACGGGCAGGATTCTCTGGAGTGACAGAGCATTGTCTGAGCAACACTTGCACATACAACTCCTAGGAAAGGGGATTAGCAGCGGGGGGCCCCCACCTGAGAAAGGCAAGGGAAACTCTTTCCATCAAGTGCACCTTGTAGAACGGAGGCGTTCCCACTGCACAGCCAGACCCGGCCCTCGCTGGGCCACCCACTTTGCTGAACTCCAGAGCTTGTGGAGAAGAAAGACGAGGAGGGAAAACGCAATTCAACCCCAAGATCACTTTGCTGCTCCAGCCTGAGCACAGAGATGTCTCCCAGCTCCCTGCTCTTCTCCGGGAGATCTGCACTACCTACAGATCACACACCTGAACGCTGGGAGCTTGAGAGGGACAGTGAAAACATTCCCGTCTGAAAGCCATTTGCGTATCGTGTGCGCCGTTCAGCTCTCTCCACACACTGGACCCAGTATGCAGAGGGCCCAGGGTGCCTGTCAGTAGAACTCGTCCTTCAGGCGGTGCCATTCCACCGCTCAACGCCCACCAGAGCATAGGACGGAGCAAGGGCCAGGAGTCTCTAGGAATCATTTGGGGACAGTTCTCTGGCCAGACTGGATCCCAGTGGCCCCTCCTGGGGTTGGAATCGGTCCTTTCTCTACTTAGAAAAAGGATCTCAAACTCAATACCCTGCAAACCGAGGGGGGCTGCTTTGAATTGCTGGCTCCAAACAGGCCCCTCAGTTCTGGTTCCTTGGGGGATCCCAACCCAAAAGGGTTTGTGCTTTCTGCTTCCAACGCAGCTGGGAGCTTGTGGGAACTGACCTCTGCGCACGAGATTACAAGAATTTCATGAAAACAACTTCCAGCCACATAAACTGGCAGAAATCCAACCATAGGCGGTTTCTGCCATTTTGACAGTCTCTTATTCAAAGATCTAGCCCTGATTAGCCCTTGATCTGAACCCTACTCTGGAGCTGAACGGAGCCTCAAAGTGACCCAAAGCAGAGAGATGGGAATAGCCATTCCAGTGCCCCAAGGAAGGCTCAGACCACAGAATCCAGCCCTTCCAGG